GGGGGGGATGGGGGGGGAGTGATTTTTTAGGGGTTTCCTAAGCAGGGGCTATATGCAGAGGATGCTAGGATGACGGTTACCCTTGGAAATTTAAGGGGCCAGGTCAAAACACTGGTCCAAAATAGGGACCCGATTTTATGAATTAAGGTGGTGGGTACCGGTACATACCCTATCATCTCCCCTCCCTCCCTGCTAATAAAGCGACATAACACTCACCAGTAAGTTCATCAGAACTATCGGCATCGCTAGAAGAAAAATATAGAAGAAAACAAACGACAGTTCAGGAAATGGAACTTGCTTCGCTCCAGTTTTTTCATTGATCGCATTAAGTCCATCAACCAGTAGCGTTGCATAATCGAGCTCTCCAACTGTCATCACTGTTGTCTTGACAATGGACTTGTAGAAATCTTCGAAGGCGTCCTGTAAAGAAATACATCGATAAGCAGTGAGCGTATTTTACGAGTTTTTCATATATATGTAGTGCGTAATTATAGGTTGTATAGCGCAGTGTTCGGAGTATCTATTTGAGTGTTACATATATAGCAAAAAGCTATTTCAAAAAAGGTTAGAGGGGTAACTAGCGATTGCACAACCCAAAGGAACCGTGGGCACTCACCTCTTCTCTAAACAAAATATAAAAGACAAGAGAAAAGGCCAAGATGAATACCACGAAAAGAGACATGACTTTGATTAACGTCTTGACGACTTCCAAGTACATGGTGACGAATAAACCAACATTGGACAAGACGCGAAGGAAGAGAATGAGGTTTGCGAAGCCAAGGAATACACAACACGTACCAATTTCCCAGATAACCTATAGCAAAACCGATTTTTTGTATAAGTAGAAGTTAATAAATGGTAGTATACTCCCTTAGCTCTGGGGTCCTCAGATTTGATTCCTGGGCTCGACGGCATCCATGTGAGCTGACTTTAGGTCTCTCTCTTTATCAAAGTGATTTTCTCTCTCTGGTTTTTCCGGTTTTTCCTTCCTCACGAATTTAATTCGCCAAATCCCAATTTGATCTGTGAGCTATCAGCTGTGCTCTGACTTAGATTAGCTCAAAGGTTGTTTCGGGATATAATTCAGGGTATATCGATGGAATTTGAAAAAAAAAAAAACTGTCCCTCTATAGACCTACGCTTGCTCCTGCTTCCCCTCACGTTCCAGGAAAAAACTAACTGCGCCTTACTTTTGTTGTACTCTCTCCTGCCAGTTTATGGAATCACCAATAGCACTAACACTCCCCACCCACCCTCCCCTCCCCTCGAGAGTGTTCGTAGTATACAAATCAATAGAACTCCTCGGCTCAGGCGTAATGTTGTCCCATTTCAGACACGTGTCATTCCCTTGAGTGTTTAACGGTTGCACATGAGAAGACACCTGAATATGGATACAACTCAAACAAAGAATCGTAATTTCAAGGGAATGACACGTGGTCTGAAATGCCACAAAATTTCACCCGAGCCGAGGAGGACAATTACGTACCTTGGGCTGACTCCGCAGCCAATCACTTTTGCTCACAAAGGGTAGCATAAAAATGAAGGCCGTGCCATACAAACACCATTCAAGTAGATTAATAGCGTCCTTGAAGTATCGTAGCCCTAGATTGAATATCTGATACACTTCCTTCAACATGTGAAACACTGCAATCCCTGTCACCAATATGGGTATCAACTGACCAAATTTGTCGTCATTCATAAGACTGTCTGACGCTTGCGATACGTTAAATCCTTGTCGTGGGACGATAAGTTTTCGACGTTGCGTAGTTAAGAAAATCGATAGCATGTTTAAAAAGAAGACGTAGAGCAAAATATTGAAGATAAAGATTATTTTCCCAAAGTTTTTCCATTTCATGTTGAGAAGTTTTTTCGCTAGAGGATGGATGAGAAGGTCTTGACGCTTGTATTTTATCATATCAGCTAAGCCTATGTACCGGTCGTTTCTCAGTCCACTGCAGTCGTCGGGGCCTGGGTCAAGGTAGCGGAAGTTGTAGGTTGTTGATGTGGGCGACCGCTGGACACAACGATCCATGACCGCCTCGGCTGCCTCGGAGTAGTGTTGTATCAGAGACGACATTGTATTCTGAGAATCACAGCTCCTGATTCGAAGGATCTCTTCCCACCTGGATAAAGGGGAGAGAACAATAAGCGTGAGCATGCGCTATGAAGTCGTGACGTCACTAGAGGGATTCAGTTTTATTTCAAAGAGCATATAACACGAAACATTTTTAATGTTAAAAATGGCTAGTTTATTGGCATTAATATAAATATCATGGTTAAATTTGTTTCAAAAACGAATTTCTTAGGAATTCAACCCGGACTTTAACAAAAGTTGTGACGTCATTTTGTTTACAATTCTTCAGATTTAGTTGCAAATACACGAAATATGTTTCAGGAGTACATTTTGCAGTTAGGGTTAGGGAGGGAGGAGTGGGTGGGGAAATATTTTGCTAGTAACAGTTCATGATCACGGTCAATCATATCGCTATATTCTTACCAATCAAAATGTTCAGATGCAGCATTGTCACGGTCACGGTCACGGTCACGGTCACGGTCACGGTCACGGTCACG